TTAGAAACAAGGATGGTTAAAACTCGTACTTCATATGCTTTTCATAATGAAAAGTACTACAGCAAGTTGTCTCTGCTTCAACTAGCACAGTATACCGTTAGTTTTCCCATACCTAATCTGCCTGAAGTGCGTGTTTGCGTCACTAAACTTCTAATCCTACAAATACTACTTTTGCCATCTTCTTATACATAGGCTGCTGCAGTCACACACTATAATTTTTTTGAGAGTATGTACGAGTATCACAAGCTAGAATTAACGGTGTTCTCCATCGGTGACCGTGTAGCGCCTTGTGCTAAGCGCGCACGAAACTTGCTCGTACCTAATTAGGCGATAGTGACTATCAACGACGCAGTTCCCTAGTGATTCATGTCTGAAGTCCGTGATGGATGTAGCGAAACTGGTGAAGTAGGCTGGCGGTATTTAGATGTTCTTTATGGCATCGAAAATTTCCGACCTTATCTAAAGAACACTCGTTTCTCTTTTCATTCATTATGTAAAGTTTGTTGCTTGCGGCATTGTTTAGCGATGGTTCTAATGGTCTTATACTATTCATAAAATGTGACAGCTATAAGAAAGTTTAGATTCGTTACTGGCGTCCAACTCTTGCATCATCATTATTACCCCATGAAAGATATATCGACTGTGAGCTAACATCGGGTAACCATATGGAATATTGTCCATTAACAACCTCTGTACTAAATTTTGGCTACTTTTCCGTTTTCTGATGGACAAGATGAACATTTAATTTCAAAGACCAACAAGTCTAAAGGTTATTTCCTTGTTGTTACGTTATATGTACTCGAAAATTAAGCAGGTGCGATGATTGCACTCAGTGACGTCACACAATTCATGACCTCTGAACGTCACTCGAGCCTCTATTATCATTTGATTACTTCACCGGGTATCAGCAATATATATGCCCAGAAAGTGTTGACTCGCCTGTTGTCTGGGAAATTACATTGGTGTGCGTCTCTCGTTATCCCAGTTGCGGAAAGGAGAAAATCTATGGTTCTTTGCTACGAAACCGTCATGCCTGGCACACAGAGCTAGTTATCTCCTACAGTAGTCATGCTTGGCCCAAATGGCGATTGCTGATCGTAAAATGCGGAAATAAATAATAAAGTATAATTGGGTGCCGAGCTGGTCATCATCACGAAATCATCTCTTTACCATCACTAGCACTCCGCGTCGTTACCTATTAACCGTCACTATAAATAGGTCATTTCTTATTTACCGTTACCTACTAACACCGCGTGTCATCATATATTTACCGTTACTAACACACTGCATCCCTGCAACCCGAAACTGTTACCTTGGACACCATCGCACACTAACCGTTACACTGCACGTCATCGCCCACTAACCGTTACACTGAACGCCATCTATCGACTGCTATACTGCTCCAAATATCCTATTAGAAGTGTTATATTGTATATCATCATTATTTACACTGCATCTCCTGTTAACCATTACACTGCTCATTGCCCTTCAACCGTTTGCGCCTAACGTATTGTGCACCAAAACGGACGCTATGCACAAGACGTCCCGGCATCACATGTTGCGGCCACGCCTTCGTTGCGCACCAAAACGGACCTTTCTGCATGCTGGCTTCTGCCGGCCAACTTTCACTTCTGCTCGTCGGACGCTCCGTTCGTGCTGCTGCTAGTATCGCTCCCCAGTTCACCAGTTCATGTATACTCGTTTGTTGTCAATTATCTAGCGGGTTCAATAGTCTGTAGAGGGTAATTTAGTTGTGAATATATATGCTGTCGCTTTTCAATTATCAATATAATGAGGGAGGGTTTTTTTTCTGCTGGAATAGGAGCAATTTGACTTCATTCATATTTTAAATTGCAAATTACTTCACCTGACTAGGTTCTACTCTTATTTTGTGGTAACTTTATTGGCAACCCTCTTTTTATCTTTAAAGCTATGTTTTTGTGCTGAACATTCCTGTAATATCTCTTGATATGATTTAAATTTTGACAACGTACTCATTTCGTGGTTCTAATATTTTTATCCACTTATACCCATTTTGTTTTCCTGCTTTAGCGCAAGAAAAGCAGATTATTTGTTAGTAAATCAGTTACTGCGTAGCTGCAATAGGGAGCGGTGTTTTGCAACTGACCAATGGTAACTATCGTATTTGAACAGGACATGCATCCGGTCTGGTATCAATGCGACACACATGATACGCTCCTAACAAACTCTTTAGTCATTTCACTTCAGTTTCATTATTCAAATTCACCATGATTCAATATGTGCTGCCTTTTTTAGCATTCATGACGAGTTGGGCCAGTTGAAACGCGTTTTGAAATAGAGGATGGTGCGCTATTGATATTTTTCAACACTAAGAAACATGAATTGGTAATATTATCCATATTAAGTGACATACTTTTTCATCCACTGCTCAAGAACAGAGCGGACGTTGCACTGATACGCCCTTATGTCGGGCTAAACTAAGGACGAATATAATAACTTGTGAAGAATATAATATTAGGGCATTATTTTTTAAACATTTCGTCAAACTCATTGAAAAATATGATAATTGAATTAGAACTTTAATAAAGATGCTTATCGATATACATACTGTTGACTTCATAAATCTTCGAGTGAAGAAGCAAAAATCTGAGGAAAATGGTATTCTGCATGCGAGGTGTGATCGACTTGGACGCGAATCCGCGATTCGTTTTTGGTACAACACAGTTTTTCACTGTCATTTTGCCTCCATTTTTTCAGTGTTAAAAATCTAATGCCGCGAGTGAATGCTCTGGAAAAGATCTAGAACCTGTCGCTCACTGTTTTGTATGATCGCCATTGTGATGGCAGAGTTTCATGCTCCAGTGCGTTCACCTGTTCAAATAATGAGCCTTTCGCGGCCAACAGCTGTTATCAAACAATTGCCTCGAATCATCAAAATACCGGGTGAATTTGCTGGGGGTCTTGTATTCAGTATTCTTCATATTCTTCAGTATTCCGTTACACTGATTCTACGTAGGTAACACAATTGAACCCAATTCATTCAGAAGGTTTGCGTTAAAACTAGTTGAAGTTGTAACTTGATTGTCTCCTTTAAAATGTATTCCAATTACAAACAATCTTATTGTAGTGTACTATATTCATCAGTGTGATTTAGTAAAAATTTATAATCTGGAAGTACATGTGTAGAGAGTAAAATGTCTGTATAAACGTTTACATATTCGTGTTCAATTGACAAGCGAAGCTTTGCGTGCCATGTCATTTCATGCAGTAGAAATTAAGTTTTCGCTGTAATGAACTATGTGCTATAATATCAATCTAATTGAGAACGTATGTGCTAATTCACGATTAGCTAGCACACCATAAAAAAACTAAAGAGAGCCCATTACGCCAAAAGTGTTGATAGTTCTACTAGTTATGAATAGAACGTAAAATCGCAAAGCCAAGTTATTTTCGAAAATGTGAACAGTTCATTGGCTACTGTCAATAACTTGTTGCCAATTGCTAGGTTGTTTTTCTATGTATGATTAAATGGTTGCCCCATTGTATTTATGTAGTGAATAGTACAGCTCGTTTAAACGCTCTACTTGCAAATTATCATCTCAGTCGCTTTCACAAACAGCTGCTCCTTTGAGCTCTGAAGAAACACAGTTACCAACCTCCGTTGGCTTCGTTGCGTACGTGCATGTTGTGTGCGTGCCTTTGATACGTGCATGTTGTGTTCGCGTCCTTTGATACGTGCATGTTGTGTGCGTCCTTTGATACGTTGTGTGCGTCCTGTGATACGTGCATGTTGTGTGCGTCCTTTGATACGTGCATGTTGTGTACGTCCTGAGATACGTGCATGTTGTGTGCGCGTCCTTTGATACGTGCATGTTATGTGTGCGTCCTTTGATACGTGCATGTTGTGTGCGCGACCTTTGATACGTGCATGTTGTGTGCGTCCTGAGATACGTGCATGTTATGTGTGCGTCCTTTGATACGTGCATGTTGTGTGCGCGTCCTTTGATACGTGCATGTTGTGTGCGTCCTGTGATACGTGCATGTTGTGTGCGTTGTGTGCGTGTCCTGTGATACGTGCATGTTGTGTGCGTGTCCTTTGATACGTGCATGTTGTGTGCGTGTCCTTTGATACGTGCATGTTGTGTGCGTATCCTGTGATACGTGCAACTTGCTTGCCTTTTGCAATCTTATCAAGACTCGATAAAAGGCCCCAGCTGCTACGTATCTCAGAGCTGTTCCTCAGATGGGCATGAATTTGCTACAGTCGGCAGATCATCATTCAAGTCGCTCTTTTTGTGAGAAGCAGTGCACAAGGAAATATGGTGAAACAAATAAATATAAAAACAATAAATAGGCTCATCGTCATTATTCATTACTTTTCAGACCTTTAAATTTAGTCTATTTATTTAGAATTATCTATTTTCAATCGCGTAATTGATCTAAGTAAATGCTTGCTATATAGTGTGTTAAATGTTAATTTTGAGAACTGTGTTGATCTAAAGTTTTAAGAGTTGCTGGTTAGTCACAGCTTCGAGCAGAAATTCCCAGCTATAAGCATTCATGTGTTGCGGGGTTAGGCTTAGTGGAGCGACAGACGATTCTTTCAATGGAACTGAAAGCTCAAAAAGTTTGCTCATGTGTTGTTCAATTGCTTCTACTCAAGATGTTTTTAAGCATCGTAATTAGTTCAATTACTTCCACTCAAGATGTTTTTAAGCATCGTAATTAGTTCAGTTACTTCTACTCAAGATGTTTTTTTAGCATCGTAATTAGTACAATTACTTTTACTCATAATGTTTTTAAGCATTGCAGTTAATAATGAATTGGATAGTATAAAAAAAAACGCGGCATGCTTTTGTGTGCACCTTCAGGATCGCCCGACCGACGATTCGATATTTTATTTGCACAGTTTCTTATAAATTAAGATGCGATATATATATACCAGTGTTTGAATAAATTTGCTTTCCAGTTTTCGAAGCGCTATCAATGTATTTATAACGCTCTATACTTCCACAGATATTTCAAGCATTTAAATGGTTTAGAAAACAAGTGGTGGCATCAGTGTTTTGTTGTGATGGATTCAATTGGTAATTAAACGTATGTGATCATCATTATTCAATTGCGGTGTTTGTAATTGAAAACGTTTTGCTGAGCGGATGAAACAAATCCGCTCGCCAGGACTGAGCATGATTGAACATATGAACTTGATCTCTTGCTCGTCGTCGGCCTACGGCTGCTGGGCCGTTGTACTGTTTTTTGAAGTTAGCTAGCAGGAGTTTGAACCATTATTACTCTTCCTTTTGGTGCTTTCAGGTCTAGTCTGAATTAATTAGAGCTGCCACGACGCAACGGTGCTTTTAATGTCGCTGATTTACGATAAGATCTTTTTAAATTGATGCCCTCTGCGTCACTATACGTTGCAATTTTAAGTTCACTTTAAGTGAGTTACCCACAACCTGCATAACACTGCCTTGATATGCATATCACCTGCAAGGAGGTAATGAAATATCTTGTATCCTGATAACTGTAATGTAATTAATGTAATGAACACGGTAGAGGTGGTGTCTTAGGGACGCCTCGAGTGTCCTTATTGTGGAGAAGTGACTAGTGAATTGAATATTTTTCCGAAGCTTTGTATACGTGAAGTGAAGTTATTCGTCTAGTCTTCGCAGCGTCGACGCTTATGAGCCTAGAAGTGAGTAGCACTGGAACGTAATTGCAAGTCCCAAAAAACTAAGTCTTTTACTACATGTGGAAGTGACATGTAATTTTTCTTTAGCGCGTTCTTGAACGCAAAACCGCAATCGTGGCGGGTTTAACATGTCACAAGCGAGGCTCACCACTGTTTGGTCTAAGGAAACTGAACAGCAGCAGCAGCAGCTCACCCCTCTGTGAGGTCCCTGAACTCTTCGAAAGCAGGGAACCTTTTCCGCCTACGAATTCTCATTCCAGTTTGGTGCCGAGACTGGGGTCGCCGCCCTCCTCGGGTTTGCCCGTAATAAATCCTTCTATTCTGGTAGACGACTTTTCAAATCTGGATTCCCATGAAGAGGAGACGGTTAAGGAAACTCAGCAGCAGCCAAAGCTGCCACTGCCCAGAAGAAAGCTTTCAGTTTTCGGCGGTCCTAGAGGTATGGGGCGTCCGGAGAAGAACACTCCTAGCCCAGCCGTCATCAATTTAAAAAACAAGAATGTGAGCAACACAAATGGCACCATCAACTTTCTCACTTCCATTCTTCGAACAGACATGGTCAAGATCGAGGGAGCTGATGCAGATTATGTCCTCGTCCAGCACATAATCGGTGAGTAGCCGCTAAATCCTAAATATTAATTGTCAATTGTCCTCCTGAAGTGTAATAATACTGACAACCTACATGTAAATAAATTTTGTAATCGTTATAAAAATCATTCCTTTTCTGTCTTGTGTTTTCCAATGTAATTTTTTTCCTATTTATGTTGTCATATTTGTCCCTCTTACTCTAGAGATTTATGAAATGTCTCTGTTAGTACCAAGTCGAAACATGCCTTAACCGATCAAAGCTAGCACTGCGATTTTCACGGACTACCGAGGTCTAATTAATGAAATTTACGCAAAATTCGGCGAATATCTCGACAGTAGCTACACCCAGTAGGTTCTATAATTGCTTATAAGCCTATGTCAGTCGCATCGTAAACTAAACGTTTATATACTAACTGTTGATTTCTTTTATAATGATCCCACTAAAAAAGCTCGCCTGCTCAAGTTTTTGTAGTTGTAGTTGTAATAATCTGCATCATTGTCCATATCTCAGTTTGACTAAAGCTAAAAGAAAAAATATACGAGAGAAGCATTCGTCGGAATATAAAATCTGAAATTACATAAAGATTTTTGAATACCTATTGTGTATGAAATTCCTGAAATGTATTAAACGTTAGTTAAATATAATAATTTTTACGCTTTTGGAATGAAACCCTGAGCGCCCCACCGCTGAGCTCGCTGTGTCTGACTGCAGGCCTCAGTTGTGAGGTAAAGTTATTATGTAGGTAGGATTCCTTACATTAAGTTATTATGTAGGTAGGATTCCTTACATTAAGTTATTATGTAGGCAGGATTCCTTACATTTCCCTTCTCTGTCTCTCTCGTGCGGGCGGCCGACGTCCCGTGTAAGCGACCTCTTGTTCGAGTGTCTTCGTTTCTGTTGCGTTTCACCTGTCCCTCCTTGTCACTTCGTCTCTTTGAGATGCTAACGCTGTTTCTTTGGAGCCAGCTTCAGCGGGCTGGACAATTGAGACCATCCGCCCCTTGTGGGTGATAATTAATTTGAGATTTTGAATAATTGATACCTTCCGCCTAGCTGGTGATTTTTTTTACATCCGGTCCGAGATAGCTTGATAGCTGAAGCGCTAGCAAACCATTCTACTACTATTACTACTACTGCTCTTGGAATGAAACTGCCAGGGCATCTTTGCCTGCCGGAAATTGTACAAGATCAGGTCTGACTGTCGCATATACATTGTCGAATTTCGGTTCCTCATTTTCCATGGATTTTTATGGAAGCTTTACGAATCTTCGTGGAAGCTCTATGGATCGTCATGGAAGCCCTATGGATCTTCATGGAAGCCCTATGTATCTTTATGGAAGCCTTATGTATCTTTATGGAAGCCCTATGGATCTTCATGGAAGCTCTATGGATCTTCATGGAAGCTCTATATGGATCTTCATGGAAGCTCTATGGATCTTATGGAACTTTGGAAGCTCAATGGATCTTCATGGAAGCTCTATGGATCTTCATGGAAGCTCTATGGATATTCATGGAAGCTCTATGGATCTTTTGGAAGCTCTATGGATCTTATGGAACTTTGGAAGCTCAATGGATCTTCATGGAAGCTCTATGGATCTTCATGGAAGCTCTATGGATCTTCATGGAAGCTCTATGGATCTTCATGGAAGCTCTATGGATCTTATGGAAGCTCTATGGATCTTCATAGAAGCTCTATGGATCTTCATAGAAGCTTTATGTATCTTTATTGAAGCTCTATGGATCTTTGTGGAAGCTTTACGCTTCATGGAAGCTCTATGGACCTTATGAAAGCTCTATGGATAGGGCACCACAATTTTAGTTGCCTAGGTGGCGACATGGCCTCACAGTACGGGGTAGTAAGGAAGCACTGGAGCTGCATTGACTCCCACCACTTCAAGGCTGACCGCTTCTGCACGGCAGGCTGGACCCTCCCTCGCACGAAACTTTCTTCTGTCTCCTGCGTGTTACGGCTGCTTCGCTTTCATTCTCAGTCTGATTATTTATTACTCTGATTTCATTCTATTACCTACCGAAATTTACAATCATTTCGCCTGAAATTTGAATCTTTAGTTGCTTCTCAAAAATTATTTGTAGTCTCAATAAACTTTTTTTTGAGCTCGATAATTGTACTCGAATCGTTTCGATTTATTCGATTCATTGCAAGCTAGTATTTAACTTTCCTCTAACAAAAGACACAATAAAGAAATGCATTTTGTTCGTGTCAGCGCAACTTACACGAACAATGCGTTTTATTATGAGATTTGAATACATGTTCTCTACAGAATATGTTCGCTGATGACAACTATTTGGTAGTTTGTTTCGTAAGGTTGAGTCTACAGTGGAATTTTGATAAAAAAATTAGAACTGATGTATTTTTTGGTATGTTGTAATTCACGAGTATGTCTTTTTAAATTCAGTTGTATACAGAGTTTTTTTTATTAATATTGCAAGTTTTAAATTGATATCAACCTGAGAATATTTGCACATTAAATTCGCACCCAACCGTCAATAAACATTTGAAAGATCATTAAGGAAGCACGATACTTGCTGTAGGCCAATATATAATAATTTACTAACATAGACGCTACGAACTTCAGCCTTGGGATGAGAGCAGTGCGTATGATGCAAGACTTGGCGCGCAATTGCACGTTGTTGGGACTCGGGGGAGTGAAGCCATCATAAAGCGCTCGCTGAAATATCATCTCACAAGTTCAGCCTTCGGGTCCGAGAAGTGCACATGTTCGTGTTGACCATGAAAATCGCGTCCACTGCAAGACTTTTTACGTCTCTTGTGACTGGGACGATGGCAAGTGATGCCGCGAGCTGGGCAGCTGAAGACGAAGAGAGCACCGCTGCTGGAAGATTGATAGGCGCTCTAGGTTCCGTCTTCAAGGCTGTGTACCGTATATTAAATACCCGTGTTTCCCTCATTCTCGCTCAATCATAGAATTTCATACTCGGAACAAAAAATAACAGAAGTATGGACTTGTGGTGAAGATAAGAATGAGCAAGTTGTACAGAGTTTTGCGTTGGTGCAAATCTGCAACTGAAATATAGCTCGCAATTGTATTCTATAGTCCTCTGATCAACAAAAACACAAACATGGAATCGTTCAATTCTTCTTTACACTTTTTTTACACATACTAAGTTGCCAGTTATATCATCTGTACGTCAGTAATATGAATGTTATTGAATCAAAAAAACATTATTACTGACATGCCGAGAATCTTAATGCTGCCTACATAGCAACATTGCCTTACTTGGTCTTGTATGTGAATCTATTCTCGTTGCTTCTCATGCCAGCTTAATATCTGTGTCTTGGTATGCATATCATTAGGAGGTAATATGAATATGAGTCTGCAGGTCGATGCAAGAGTTGAGGAAGACCTTGTTGCTTTTTGTCGACTTTGATACTGTTTTCATTGTTTTTTCTTGCTCAATATTTGCTGACTTTTGTTACGGTAAATTGAAACCCTTCGCATGTCGCAATATTTTCAAACATTTGACATCGATGTGTATTTGTAATCAGAAAAGTATGGCTCAAAATTTTATTAGTCTTAGATTTTTCCTGGACTACATGGACTGTTTCTATCGCGTGAGCCTTGATGGAGAAATTAACGATTTATTTCAAACGGTTTCAACTAAAAAGAAACAAAAAGATCATTTATTTTAGAGTTATTCTTACCAGAAACGAAAATTTATCTACATGTTATGCTGTTACGGGGTAAATTCCATGCTTTTAGTATCATTTAATGTTTCATAAAAAACTATAAACAAATAATAAAATCGACGTTTGAGACAACAATTGATAACCTACTACATTTACGACCTTGCCTTCTTCATTAAGCATGTTCTGCAGTAGCATCTGATTTTTTTATTTGTTCAGCTCGTATTTCCATGTAAAAAATACGCACGATACTCTCTAGAGTTTTACGTTTCCTTGATTCGAGGCATCTATTTGGATTGCTGTTTACAAATCTTGTAGCCACTCATCTTCTGCTCCGATTCGTTTTTTGAGAACAAGAACCATTCTTTTAAATAAAGAACAAACTTTGTTTGTTGTCAAGGCAGTGTTGTGTTGCATGGTTTTTACTGCGCCATAGTGGAAGTTCTGAGCGCAGCAAAGAACGTAAGCAATGCTGAGCTTGAGTTTGGCAGATGCCACCTATAATATGCCAAATGCGACCAGCCTTGCTCTCCCAGGAAGTATTTGCATGACTCGAGAACGGATGTGCTGTAAAGCTTGCCACAAATAATCGTGAAAATACAGGAATTAAGGCGTTCAGAGTTAACATTGTAATTCTAGTGCCTTATTATTGTCGCAAAACGTTGTTCAATATGGTTTGTTATGCATCTCAGGCTTCGAGCTTCCTTATTTAAGCTTCGGAGACAATTTTCCGTCTTGTCTGATGTATGCCTGACTGCACGTTAACGATCTTACATGAGGAGGACGAAGAAGATCGGCTGAATAGCTTCATATATGAATATTTTTCCTGAATTTGGCCTTCAATTAAAAACGTCAACGGATTTTTGTGCATCAATTCCTTGTAAATATAAAAGTAATTCTGGTCTTGCACCAACGAAGGGTCAACAAATTGCTTGTTGTTAGGACATTACTGCCGCGATTACTTATATACTGAAAATCCTCCTGATTGTTCATCCTGGATGCTTCTTACTTCTCAGCATCATTCTAAAAACGCCAGTGTAAAATGTTGTGCTCGAAAATGGAATGCTTGGAGCCTGCTTTGATAAATCACTTGCGACGTCTCTCCTCCTTTTCGACGTCAGTTCTAGCCGACAATTGCCAGGGCTGATGTCTATAGGCATACAGGTGCTGAGAAGTTAAATTCGCGTCATCGTACATTATAATGGAGACTAAGTATTCGCCTGAGTATTCGGATTACCATTTCTGGTGGTTAACTACAGACAAAATTCACTCCAACAGCGCACTTTGAGTGTCATGAAAGGCACGCCGGTTCGTCTGCATGAGCAGCGAGAGATTTGGCAAGGCGCGCTGCCTT